TCCGACGACGATCTCTCACTCCAACTTACCAACAAGTGCCATCAACGCATTGCTTCACTACGCTTCAAGATCCAACGACAGTTTCCACATGTCTTACGGAGAGATGAAATCAATCTCCGACTTTCTCCGCCGTTGCGCTCCTCCGTGTAATCTCCTCGTCTTCGGACTCACACACGAAACTCTCCTCTGGAAATCACTAAACCACAACGGACGTACAGTTTTCGTCGAAGAGAATCGATACTACGCAGAATACTACGAAGAAATCTACCCAGAGATCGACGTGTTCGATGTTCAGTACACGACCAAAGTTCAAGAAGCTGGTGAGCTCGTTGCGGCGAAAGAAGCGGCCCAAAACGAGTGTCGTCCCGTCCAGAATCTCCTCTTCTCTGACTGAAAATTAGGTTTAAACGATATGCCGAATCACGTTTACGATGTTGATTGGGATGTAATCTTGGTGGATGGGCCACGTGGCAACGTTGACGAAGGACCGGGGAGGATGTCGTCGATTTTCACGGCGGCGGTACTTGCTCGGAGCAAAAAATGCGGGAATCCGAAGACTCATGTGCTTGTTCATGATTAGAAGACTCATGTGCTTGTTCATGATTATTACGGAGACGTCGAGAGGCTTTGTGGAGATGAGTTCTTGTGTCGTGAGAATCTTGTCAACTCTAATGATTGGCTTGCGCACTACGTGTTCGATAAGATGGATAAAAACAGCACCAAGTTTTGTAGTGATCATAAGAATTCCTCTGTTTCTTCTTTGTCTTAGAAGTGACGTGAGATACACGTTCGTATGCATTGCTACAAAATTTATAATAACAATTTAATACGTCTCGATATATATTATACGAAATCAAGATATGGAGCTCTACAACCGAAACCAAAAAACACACCAAGAACATCAAAACCCAATGATAAGGACTAAAAGATGTTAAAGAGACCCATCTCTGAGAATTTTCTCATGGAGCCATGCTAGCCCTCCTAGGGAAAGGTAAGTACGATATATCTTCCGTCACAACTCACGAGTAACATTTTCAAGAGTAACAAAGTTAGAATCCGCTGATTTAGCTTTGAAAGAACATGTAACAAAGTCAGATCAAAACTGATGCACAAGTAGAGCCCGCTAACGCGACCAATCTTATGGTTTGTTTATTAATCATAATTTATTTGTTGATTTCCACTACTAAAATCAACATTATCATAATGACTACTACTTCCTGCCCCAAATACATCATAATCTTCACCATATTCAGACAACATAATATCCAGGCATAAATCGTCTACTATGCAAGTGATCCGAAATGATTCGAGTTGGTCTTAACCTAGTGGAGTTATGACATTTAACACAAGGGCAACAAAACTTACCTCTACTGCTTAGAGCTAAGTCCTGGTTACTTGAGAAGTTAATGAATTGTTCGACCACATCCAAAAATTCCCTTAATAGATTATTTGTCTGCAAATCTATCATGTTATACATCCAATCTCGGGTTGAAAGCCACATTTATT